TACTAAAGAATTATTACAGAGTGTTAACATTCATACACCACACCCACAATGTTCCATCTAATTAATCATTAAGCCTGTTCTTGCATATATCTTGATTGACACATACCTTTATATTTATGTTTAAACTTGTCAATTCTATTACTATTTTTTATGTCTACACTTAAATTATTCCATAGTTTTACCCCACTTATGGAAATACAGAATCTTTTTTTGGTTGTACGTATAGCATGAATTTTTAAATTTAATTGACCCCTTAAATTGTATCCCCCTTCCCTTTCATTAAATAGTTTTTGAATTCCACCAGGTAATAAATTGTTCCTGGCTTTATACATAAACACAGCAGTCTTATATCCCACTAAATCAAAACATTTTAACAATTTAGACTGTATGAAAGCTCCATTGGTGTGATCCCTATACCCCATCTTATGCACAATTCTTATCGCTCTTTTTTTGTAATATATACAATGGTTGAAGTGAGCTTTTGTATGTATTTCCCCAGTTTTCAACGCCATACTCTAAGTATGGTAAAATCAATGAAGAATACAAAATGCATAATGCTTTCCCATCCAAAATATATTTCACCCTTGCCAATAACGATATATTTTTTGCTATTTTACTCTGAACATATCTGATATGCGATTTCCAGGAGAATTTGCATTCAACTATGACACCTAGAAATTTAATTTCATGTACTTTATTCCACCCTGAGCTATAAAAAAAAGTCAGACAACAGGTTCACACATACAGGCTTAAAGCTCAAAAGAAATGATTGAATTATTGTACAATCTTAAGATCTATATGCATGAAAAAGGTCAATTTTCCTTCCATGAGTCTGCATTCAAAAGAGAGAGCTTTTGGTACTGTACCACACGGTGAGCTCATCTCACAACTGCTTTTATGACAAGGTCTTATAGATGATGGTGAAGTTATTAATAACTCTGCTTTCTAGCAATGATTTGATAAAACATTAAATTTAGTAAAACTGTTGGGAGTCCAATTTATAATAAAGACATGTAAACCAAAGTTTTAAAACAAACTGTGTGCATTTACTACAAAGTGACTTGGTTAGTTCATTCCTGGGTGCTGCTGATACACTATAATATAATGGAGTATTAATTACATTTCTGAACATTTTTAATGTAATTTGTTGGTGTAACATTATTTGTAAGTGTGTATAAACTATGCATCTAGTGGCCATTATGCATTTTGTCCTTTGTCTGATGCAATGTGATTTTAATAAACATTTTGTTTTCCAACTGCTCTGGTAATCCAGCGCTACTGCCTTCTATAGGGCTGATTTCACTTTCTTCTGAAAGCTCTCCTTGTTCATCTTCAATGTAACTATCCTGGAAAACATTTGACCTATGCTGCACTACAACTGCTATGTCATAGTTTAATGCATTTTGATGTTCTCAGCACTTGTGTGCATTAAATGTGGAGTAGACATTAGTTTTAAACTTGCATGCCTGAAATGGACATGGCACCATTTCTTTCTGTCTTAAGTGGCCTCTTAAATGATTAAACATATCCATCTCAACAAATGGCTGCTTAAAATCACATAGTGGGCAATGAA